AGTTCGACTACTCCCCTGCCTTGCAGTTGCAGCATTCCTTACGGGTGCTGATTTGTGTCCTGACTGCTCCTCCTCCCTGCTTATGGCCTGGGAAAGCAGGAGAGGATAGCCAAGTTGCTGAGACCCTGCACTTGCATGGAAAATCTGGAAGAGGCTCCTGGCTTTGGATTAGCTCAGTTCCAGCTCTTGTGGCCATTTGGGGGGTGAACCAGTGGACAAAATATCTTCCTTTCTTTCTCTCTGTAAATCTGCCTTTCCTGATATTTATTTATTTTATTTATTTTTTTATTTTTTTTAAGTCCTAGCTTTAGTCCCTGACTCCAGCTTCCTGATATTCTAGACCCCTGAAAACAGCAGCGATGACTCAAAGTAACTTAGATTCCTGCCACTCTCGTGGGAGACCTGGATTGCGTTACTGGCTCTCTGTTTAGGCTTCAAACAGATGCAGGCAGTTGGGGAACAAAATATCTCTCTTCTCTGGCTCTCTGTTGCAGCCATTTTGGGAGTGAACCAGCAGATGGAAGACCTCTTTCTGTGTCTCTCCTCTCTCTGCAAAATATGCCTTTCAAACAAAAACACGTAAATCTTTAAACAAAAGTCACTATATGGTACTGCTTTGCATATATTCACACTTTATATAACATATTATATCATACATATCTTTCTTCAATTTACGTGAGATTTATCTTGGAACTTTAGCTCATATAGTTTTACAACTATATAATATTTTTGTTACTTTTTACTCTATTTTACTTATAAATTTTTTTTTAAATCATTTGAAAAGCAGAGTTAGAGAAAATGGCCTCAATGACCAGGGCTGTGCTAGACTCAAACCAGGAGTGTAAAACTCCATCCAGGTCTCTCACACGGGTGGCAAAGGCCCAGGCACATGGGTTCTTGGATGCTACTCTTCCATGAGCACTGCCAGGGAGCTGGATCCTAAAGTGAAACAGCTAGGGCTCAAACCAGCACTGATATGGGATACTGGCATCACTACAGACAATGGCTTAACTTGCTGCAGCATCACAGTGCCTGCTACCTTAAAGATCTTTTCCTCCTATTTAGAGTTTTTATTAGAGATAATCACTAAATATGATTAAATGCTTTTTAAACTTCTATTGCTTATATAAAGTTACTGTTTAAAGTTATATAGATTTTTTAGGCTTTGGATTATGCTGATATTTGCTGACACTGAGTCACCTTTGCATTCCTGGAATAAATTTGTTGTTTATTCTATGATTTTTAACTTAATCAAAATTTTAATTATAATACTAGCAATTTATCATACTAAAATAGCTTAGTTTCTGTACTAATTCTTCAGCAAATTTGGCAGTAATATATGTTAATTTCTTTCAATTTAGTTGAGAATCCTTCTGTTTCTGGTATCTTGACAGTGATGAATTTTTAGTAACTTCTCAGGTTCTTCTAAGAAAATTGATGTGGGCATGACATGATGGCTCAATTGACTAACCCTCTCCTTGTCAGCAGTAGGATCCCATATGGGCGCTGGTTCTAATCCCGGCAGCTCCACTTCCCATCCAGCTCCCTGATTATGGCCTGGAAGGCACAGAAGGATGGCCCAAAGTCCTTAGGACCCTGCACTCACATAGGAGATCCAAAAAACTCCTGGCTCCTGGCTTCAAATTGGCTTAGCTCTGGCCGTGTGGCTACTTGGGGAGTGAACTAGCAGATATAAGATTTTTCTCTTAGTCTCTCCTTCTCTCTGTAAATCTACCTTTTCAATAAAAACAGAGAACTCTTTTAAAAATTGACTTTAAGTTTTCCACATATTGGGATAATTTTGCTAGGAAAACATTAATATCACTTTTCTCCTTATTATTAGTAATCATACATTCTCGTAGAATTCTTTCAATACAGTATGCATTTGTGCTTATTCATGCTTCACCTAATGCACCTTATGATTTATGGATAACCTATCTTACTGTTTAAAAAGAATTAGCATTTCAATTGTTTTTAATTCCTGCTAGAGTTTTGTTTGCTTCATTCATTTCTGCTTCTTCCAAGCCTTTTTTTTTTTTTTTCTTATTCTTGGTCTAATTTCTTCTGATAAGTGGCCTGTTCCTTTAGTATTTGTCTTTGGCTCTTGATAATGCAGGAATTTAAGATTATAAACTTTATCTGACTAACTGATTTACTGTATTGAGGTATAAAGTGTCCTTTCCAGGGCCTACCATGGTGGCCTAGAGGCTGAAGTCCTCGCCTTGAACGCCCACGATCCCATATAGGCGTCAGTTCTAATCCCGGCAGCTCCACTTCTCATCCAGCTCCCTGCTTGTGGCTTGTTGACCCAGAGCCATGGGACCCTGCTCCCACATAGGAAACCTGGAGGAGGCTCCTGGATCCTGGCCTCAGATTGGCGCAACACCGGCCACTTGGAGAGTGAATCAATGGACAGAAGATGTTTCTCTCTGTCTCTCCTCCTCTCTATATATCTGACTTTCCAATAAAAATAAATAAATCTTTTTTTTTTTTTTTTTAAAGAAGCAAGTGTTTGGCTTAGCAGTTACGACATGTGCATGCCACATCAAAGCACCTGAGTTCAATCCCTGGTTCTAGCTCTAGACTTCAGCTTCTAGATCAAATACTTGGTTCCAAGGTTTAACCCTGCCCCGACCATGGCCATAGTAGGCATTTGACCCAGCTGATGAGAGCTCTCTCTCTGGTTCTCAAACAAATAAGTCTTTTAAAAAAAAAGCTTCCTTTTTTATCCCCTTAAAAACCATCCAATTGATTACTTTTTTTTTTTTTTTGCTTTTTTGGTTGTTTTAAATTATTTTTGTTGGTTTTTTTTTAATCCCATGCTTATCCAGTAGTGTTGCATAATTTCAACAATATTCTCCAAGAATTATAAACACTATTATTTAGCACATACTTTTTTTTCTGGCATAAGCTTAAAAAGATAATACTTAATTTGTGATACAGCTATATCCCCAAAACAGCTCTTGGGTAATGTATGTCAACTTTTTAAAGCCAGTAAGTTAAAAAAAAAAAAAAAGATTCTAAGATCATAAATAATGAAGAAATTTTTTAAATTTTCTTAAAGTTAGCACAAAAGGCAAATTTTCAAAAGAAGCGTGTAGGACTCCTACATTGCTATAATAATACAATGTTAACAATAACCAAGAGTTTCACAAATATCCTCTTAGTTTTCCATAGTACTTTCTTTCTACAACAATATCTCTCATAACTAGATGAGAAGGATGGAAAGGAATTTGCAAAGAGCTGCATTCTCTAATGGCTTACTATGGCATAAGCTCATCTGGAAATCTGTAAACTAGAACAGTATATTAAATGCTCTGGGAAGTTCTACTTGCCAAGGTCAACCAAACATTTTTCGTATGTATTTCATTACCTCACACTTCCATCAGTTAACACCTAATAATGCTTTTTAGGAAATGGAAGCTTAGGAGACAAATAGTCCTTGGAGAAAAAGTCTCTTCTCTGTGGTTTGTTCAAAAGTGATGCTTCATATACTGAGCTCAAGTTGATGCTTGTTAAATGACTCAGTATCAAGGGAGGTGTGATATGGTAAGAGTCATTAAAGTAATGAGTATTCAGTGCTGCTATTCCCAGAATGGTTATACTTAAGTAGAATTCTCCTAATAGTGTAGTCACTATTTTGCAACAGAAGTCAATGTTTCTCTTTTGTTTTACCATTGTAAATGGAAGTTCCTTAAGACTTCAGTTCTACTTAAGTTCAAATACTTGAAATCTAATTTCTGAGGAAATCAACAAAAACCAGAAAAAAAAAAAGCCTACTACTGAAGTAATAGCTAATGAGCACACTCACACCCCCCCCAGCAGTAACCATTATATCAACCCACCACCACCACCTCTACTGCTCTGCTGTGCAAAATGTCATCTGTTAGCAATGTTATCACCACCATTGCATCTTCAGAGAAAAAAAAGAAAAGCTTGCCAAGCTATTCCACTGTCCATATCAAATGAGGATAACGGGATCACACACTACCGGTTTCTAACATGAAGTTTTAAGATCCAACAACAGAATTTTAGCATTATAAAATACATAATAAACTAAATAGTGCCAGTAACCTTCAGAATTACCAAGACCAAACAACATTTATTTAGCTAGAAATCCTTTAATTCCAAAAGCTGTGAAATATGACATTTTGTTTTAAAACCTGTGGTAAGTTCTATGGGCTGCCTACCTCTACAACATTTCCCTCTTGTTTCTTGTTAACAGAACTCTGATTTTGTTGGTCAAACAATGCATGTAAGACTTCAAGGGACAAATCAAAACTGATCTGTATCAATGGCAGATGTGCCACAGCTTCTACCCGGCTGCAGGTTGCTATAGGTAATTATGTAACCCACCCACAGAGCCAGTGAGATAGAAGAAGAAATCTGTTTGGGAGATATCTAAAAGATTGCTCTATTAACTCAAAAAGAGCCACACTTACAGTCAATACCTTTTGACTATGTGGCAATAAATCAAAGCATGATAAAAACTACAACATTTCAGAACTCAAAATTTGCAGGGTTGAGTGGAGTTGAAGTTGATTAAGATGTTTCTTGAGAGTTGTATCCCACACTGGAGTGCCTGGCATTGGGGTCCCACCTCTGCTGCTGGTCAGGCTTCTTGTGAATGTACTCAGCAGACAGCAGATAACAGCCTATGCACTGCCACCCGTGTGGGAAACCTGGATGAAGTTCCTGGTTCCTGGTACTGGCCTGGCAAAGCCCCAGCTATTGCAGACATTTGTGGAGTGAAATGTGGAGTACGCAGAGAATGGAAAAATCCATCTGTCTCTCTCTCTCTCTGCCTTCCAAATAAATAATAACCAAAACTTTAGAAATAAAAATATTTAAAAAGCAATAGAAGAAATAGAAAACTTTGTTTTTCATGGCACATAATGCTGAATTTAAATAGCTTTTATAAGTACATAAACATTAACAGAATTTTAATAAAAACACAACTTTTAAAATAAATAATAAGAAAAATTGATCCATACCCGTACCTTTCCGTGTGTTCTCCGTCACATCTACCCCAAACTGAATAATGTCTCCAGAAAGAATTTCACATGGTGGACTTTCTTCGGAGCCTCGACTCAATCTCTGGCTATTTATAAAGGTACCATTACTACTTTTAGTGTCTTGGAGATAAAACTGCAAGAGGGAAAAAAAAAAAGAAAGAATTTAGATTAATAATAATTTCAAGCCTACCTTAGTTTAAAGGAAAAAAGTACTTCCAATTTTGCAAGATACTCCAGGTGAATTTTTTACCTTATCAATTCAAGTGGCTTACTTTTGCTAAGGTTTTCTACCATCAGGCTCCTAGGTTTGGCCTGGCCCAGTCTCAGCTATTGTGGGTATCTGGGGGAATGAAATGGCAATGGAGCAGCTGCTTGTTTTTCTTTCTGCCTCTCAAATCAAAACAAAACAAAACAAAAAAATTCAAGAACTTCTTAAAATAATAAAATCCAGCCAAGAAAATGGTGCAAACACTTTGCAAAGTAGCTTGTTAGATGTTCAAACTATTATACATAAAATTAGCATTCTACTTCTAAGTATATATTCAAGAAAACTGAAAACATATATCCTTATAAAACTCATACACAATGTACATTATTTACAATAGCCAAAAGATCGAAGTAACTCAATGATAACGAACAGATGAACAAATGTGGAATAACTACACAATGGATTATTACTTGGCAATAAAAAGTACTGAGGTAATGATATACACAATATGAACGAACCTTTAAACTTTCCTATGTTAAAAAAAAAAAAGCCAGTCACACACACCCAGAACTTAAATAATTTCATCTATATCAAACATCTAGAATAGGCAAATGCATAAAAGCAAAATGCACATTAGTGGTTTCAAGTGGTACAAGGTTGCTTTCCGGGGTGATAACAATAATCTAAAATGAGTGGTAATGGTCACACAACTCTGTGAATGAAACAGAAACCATTTCCTTGGCCAGCACTATGGTATAGGGGGTAAAGCTGCCACCTGCAGTGCCGGCAACACATATGGGCACCAGCTTGTGTCCAGGCTGCACCACTTTCAATCCAGTTCCCTGCTCAAGTATCTGGAAAGCAGCAGAGGCTACCCCAAGTGCTTGGGCCCCTGCACCCACATGGGAGACCCAGAGGAAGCGCCTGGCTTCTGACTCTGGATCAGGCCAGCTCCAACCATTGCAGTCATTTGGAGAGTGAACCATGGATGGAAGATCCTTCCATTTCTCTCCGCCTTCTCTCTGTATAACTCTGCTTTTCAAATAAATAAAATAAAATCTGAAAAAACCAAAACAAAATAAAAACAAAACAAAACAAAAAAACATGCTGGGTGTATATTTTAAGACAATTTTATAGGGCCTGGTGCTATTAATAGCCTAGTGGCTAAATCTTTGCCTTGTACACACTGGGATCCCATATCAGCACCGGTTCGTGACCTGGCTGCTCCACTTCCCATGCAGCAACCTGTGTGTAGTCTCAGAAAGCAGTAGAGGACGGCCCAAAGTCTTGGGACCCTGAGCTAGTGTAGGAGACCCGGAACAATCTCCTGGCTCCTGACTTCGGGTCAGCATAGCTCCAGTCACTGCAGTCATTTGGGGAGTGAACCAGAACATGGAAGATCTTATTTCTCATTGTTTCCCTCTTTAAAAAAAAAAAATATGAAGAGTCCTGCATTTTAAAAAGGAAGATCTTTCTGTCTCTCCTCTCTGTAAATCTGCCTTTCCTATAAAAATAAATCTTTTAAAAAATTATGGAATGATTCCTGTATAAAAAAAAATAAAGAATTTTAGGGGGCCTGGCACCGTGGCTTAGCAGTTAAAGTCCTTGCCTTGAAAGTGCAAGGATCCCACATGGGTGCTGGTTCTAATCCCAGCGGTCCTGCATCCCATCCAGTTCCCTGCTTGTGGCCTGGAAAAATAGTCGAGCACTGCCCAAAGTCTTGGGCTCCTGGACCCACGAGGAGACCCAGAAGAGCTCCAGGCTTCGGATTGGCTCAGCTCTGGCCATTGTGGCTGCGTAGAGAGTGAATCATTGGACGTAAGATTTCCTCCCTGTCTCTCCTTCTGTCTATATATCTCTGACTTTGCAATAAAAATAAATAAATATTAAAAAAAGAATTTTATAGTAAGCTATCCTTTTTTAAAAAGCCAATTAGACAAAAGCCTTTCTTTCCAACTCACTTTGACTTTCTAGTTTTACTTCTAGGATGACTTATGAAAGCAAACTGTCTTTATTGTTCAGATAAGGGCAAATGGTTTCTAGTAATATCCATCATTAATATCTATCAATTAGCCAACACAATTTAAAATCAGGAATGACACATCTTGAATAAATTCTCTGTGATAAAGTGGACTTGAGATATTACAAACTAAAATACTGAACCAAGTACAACATCTTCGCTGCCTTCCCAACTTTCATCACTTATTTTCCTTCTTTAAGGGAAGGGATAGCATAGGAAATTGAGAAGAACTAGGATCATATGCTTGACTTGCTAGAAAGAAAACAATCCAAAGAAAAACGTTCTAGTTTGCTGTTCACATCTTTCTGTCCTCTGCAGCCATACTTAAGCCAGCAACATATTGCCCAGAATAGGTTTTAAATAGTCTTTCCCAAGAGAGAATTGCAAAGAATACATCATACACTAAAATATACTTTACACCATTAGGTGCTCACAACCTTAACATTAAAACTATGACATCTAAATGTGAGAAAAGTAAGACTAGGCATGTGAAATATTTTTCCAAAGGTCACAGAGCAAAGTTTATTCAAGTAGAACTAAAAGGGCCATTTTCTCCCATTTCTTCACGCTGACCTTTATGTTTCATTTATCTTCACTCCTCCCACAAGCTCTTCCAAATGAAACACAAAAGACTAAGCAATCTGTAGAAAATGTGAAATGACATTTAATTTCATTAATTCCAAGGTGACAATTTAAAAGTCACCAAGCTACCTATAAATGATTTATGATTTGCTTATATTCAAAACAGATCAACTGTTGCTTTGCCTGGCAATTTGTACATTTAATTACAGATTATGAATAAAGAAGATTGCATTAATATTTTTCAAGTCTATTTAAAACTCACAGGCCCTAACATTTCATACCAGAAGAATAAAAAAGGGCAATATTTTAAAGTAAAAGCACTAATCTTATTTTTCTTTTTTTTTTTTTTAATACACATCTCTAAATTCTGATTTGGCTCATTTCAGTAAGTTGAAGAAGAGCATTATACTAGATTCACAGTGGTGGTTTTCAAACTTTTTTTGATCCATTAGTGGTTATTAAGTCAATTGAAGTAGGTTGCCATCAGCATTTTCTTTTTTTAAACATAAAAGGGCTCAAAATAAAGAGGACATGAAATAAGGCCATTATTGTTCGTAAAATGTTTGGTTTCCAAATATTTTAGAGTAAAATCAAAATCATTACTTACCACTGCAACCCACAAAGCCTAATATGATCGATCTGGCTCCTCGCTCCCTCTCTGAACTCAATCATTCTCACTTTTTTCCACAGTCCTCGCTCTCAGTCACACTAACCTTCACTCATGCCTGTGACCTCTGCACTTGTGTATGGCTAGATTGCATTATATTTAGTTTCCTACAGAAATGTTTTCACTGATATGATATAACCTTTTGTCTTTGGCTGTTTGAAAGGTTGATATTGCAAATAATGGTTTTGCACCTGCTGTAAAATATTTGGCCATTATTCAGACTACAATGTACAGAAACTACTCTATTTACTGCCGGGTTAGGCTTCCAAAGTTATATAGATGTCGTAAGGAAGGAGAAAGAGACCATGCTTACAGTTCCTGGATGAATTTCCAGAAAGCTGGCATGTAGCTAATTCTAGCCACTTTCAAACCAGAAATACCCTGCTTTATGCTAACAAACTTTGTCAGATCTTTTCTTCATCCCTAAAAGAAATCAGTGGTAACAACATTAACAATCATTTATGAGACTTAAGCATGTTGTTTTCCCAATAGCTTAAGGAGTGCCCTACCAGCTTTCATGTTTGCACTAACCACCAGACATTCACTTTGCTTTTTCCTGAATAAACTTTAAGTTACTAAAACCCAGGCACTGGTGGCAATTCTTTAATTGAAAGAGTTGTCCCTATCCCATCACCCACTTTTCCTTGTATCTTGCTGATTAATTTTAATGACAAAAGCTTTCAAAAAGTTTCTTTTATAGATTAAGCATGCATATGTTTAACTAGCATTTGGCAGAATTTTCAACTTTGCTACAACCAGTAATTACTTTTATTTCTACTGCAAGGATAAACTAGACCTTTCTAATCCTTCCTATATTAATATTCAAATACCAAAATGTTAACAACATCCAATGTTCCAATATCCAAACACCAAAATGTTAACAACATTTGAGCAAAAGCTGGAAAACAAGGCACAAACATGGTAGACTTGGCAAATGTCAGAGACTTCAAACTATACATACAGGGACGTTTTAAATATGTGAATACAGAATGGATTCTGAGGTAAGTGACAGAGCATAGATTTGTATTATATTTAAAGATTTATTTATTTGAAAGGCTGAGCAAGAGAAAGGAAGAAAGAAAAATCTTCCATTTCCTGTTCACTCCCCAGAAGGCCCCAACAGCCAAGGCCAGGCCAGGCAGAACACAGAATTTCATCCAGGTCTCCCACATAGGCACACAGGATCAAGAACTTGGGCCGTTCTCTGTTCTTTCTCAAGCACATCAGTAGGGAGCTAAATAGAAATTTGTGCAACCAGGACTTGAACCAGCACCCACATCAGATATTGACACTGCAAGCAGCAGTTTAATTTACTGTGCCACAAGGACAGCCCCAACACTGATTATTGATTCACTTCCAGCCAGTCCCACAAGGACTTGCGCCAGCCCCAACACTGATTTTTAAAATAACCTAAATCTAAATCTCAGATCAGAGTAGTAAAATAACAAAACCAAAAGTTCACAAACAACATTCACAAAAAAAGCAGAGGACTTTTTATCCATTTACACCTCAAATCACAATGAGTGAGGAAAACGACCAACAGCCACAAACCCTGCATGGACTCAGTGTGTGTGAGTATATACAGAGTAGCTATGGAGCATTTGAGGACTTGAGGAGGACACCACACTAACTGCTAGGCATTCCAAACTAAACTAA